CCTTGTCCCGCCGGAAACGCGACGGTAGAAGGAGCTGCTGGACTCTTGCCGGACCATCCTGCAGGATACCCAACTACTTCGAAGCAACGGCGCGGATCGTGACCCGTCCGGTTGCAATGGGGGCAGGTCTTCACGCGAAAACAAATCGTGGCGTCGTGTCCAGATCGACCGCAAACGGTGCACTGGCGAGAAGACCGAGAAGAGCGGGAGGACGATTGGCGTGGTGCGGTTGTGGCGAAGCTCAATATGTCGGTTGTTGGAGCGGAGGTTGTCGGAGCCGATGAAGGTGAGAATCGCTCCTCATGTGAAATGACGGAATATACCCGTTCCAGAGAAGGTAACGGATCTTGGGCCAAAAGACCAGAACGGGCCGACCCATACAGTTCTTTGTCCAGGCCCAACAAGAATTGATGAGTTTCTTCTGCGTCTCGACGAGCCTCGAATTCACGGGCATGTCCACAGGTACACGCAATCGGCGATTGATACGAATTTAGTTCATCAAATAGCATTCGCAGCTTGCCATAATATGCACTAATAGTCATACCTTTCTGTATTGTAGAAGCCAATTCACCTTTCAATTGTTGAATTCGAGTGCCATTGACGACGGAGAAACGACGACGAAGATGATCCCATAATTCTTTGGCGAGTTCAATTTGAGGGATAAAGGGTCGGAGTGTCGGATCGATCGTATTCTTGATCCATGAGACCAACATTGAGTTATTGACGAACCAATCTTCAAGAACCGGTGAGTTGTCGGCCGGTTTGGAAATAGAGCCATCAAGAAAGCTGGACTTTTTGCGTGCTCGGAGAGCTGTCCGGAGCGAGGAGGACCATTCGATATAATTTTGGCTTGTGAGGAGAACTGTAGAAATCAAACATCTGGGAGTATCACTCGACGTGATATCATATGGTGAGATTGTTTTATATTTTGATTGAGATTCGGTGTTGGTTGACATGATGGAAGAAAAAAAATTTGACGATGGTGAAAAATTCTTAGGTATAAGGTCTGCGGCGAAATTCACCGCTCTGATACCATGCTAAATTCATAAGAGAGAACATGATAATAGAAAGAAGATGATTTCTTGTATTACGTTGGAAGAGTTTTTACAGAGAATATATAGAGATTACAAGAGATAAAATCATATCAAATCAAATATGTAGATACCAAAAATAACTATATGAAAATATCGTCCATAAATATCAGATCTTCTGTTACATGTTTTTTAAAAAATATACATTTTCATTAATAAATTTCGTATTTAAAATAATTAAAAATAACATTTATGAATACATGTATATATTCTCTTACAGTGTAACGGATCGACTAAGGATGGTGTTCTTGTTTTGGATTTGGTGTAAAATTATGTTTATTTAGTTTTGTCTTTAAAAGCCTAGAAAATTTTAAAGAGTCTAATTAACAAAAATTCTATGGAGCCATCGGATTGTTTTCTTATGGAGTCATCCATCACTTAATATAGTGACACCTGTCTAAATTGTATTTATTGTAGGACACGTGTCAATACACTATTGGTGATTAAGTATGGATTGCTCCATAAGCCGAGCCATCCGATGAAATCTGAATGCTAAATAAATTGAATGTCCAATTCTTTTTTTTTTTTTTTAATATTCTAAATGAATGACTCGGTATATGTTAGGACTTTTTATAACTGAAACACCAAAAATTTTATCGTTAAAAATCCAAGATGAATACATCTCTTAAGATTCACACTTTAAAAATTAATATTAGCAAAGCTTTGATATTTTATAATCCGATTTTTACATGCTCCTCTATTCCAGTTGCGCTTTTGGACCCTTTTCGAGAGCCCTCCGGCATGGTTCACCGGTAGCTTTTCTGTCGGCTCCTCTCCTCTCCCGTCGTGGTTGGTTTTTCGCAGTCTAGGTCAAAATTGAGAGCATACTGCATATCCATCTAGGCAGAACGAGCGGTCATACTTTTTGGGCTTGAGGCTTCGTTTGCGACTTTGTTGGATCTCTATGTTATGGGAAGTGGCTCGTGTGCTGTCTGGTCGGGCGTGTGGTCTATTAGGTGTAGTGGAGGTTTTCGTCTACTTGTATATGAGGTGTACGTTTTTATTTGTTTTACGTGTGTTAGTCCAACTTGTCTTATTTTATCACATTTTTTGGAGTTTCCTCGCCTTTGTAGAGTTTCGTTTTGATTTTGCGATTGCCTCTTTGATGGAATTGCACGTCTTGAATTGCTCTGAAACTTCATTTTGACATGTACTCTTTTTTATTTTTCTATCTATATACAAGTGCTTGCGCGAAAAAAAAAAATAAATAAATAAAAAATACACGCATTAAGATTCATAAATAATTCACTGCCCACTTTACCTTCCAAAAACGCAAAAAACGTGTGCGTTCCCTTCCCCTCTGGACTGATCACATCCACACAAAACAGACAAACAAAACTGAAGTATCAAACATGGATTACCCGCACGGTCGTCACCCCCACCACGGCGGCGTCCACCGGAGGGACGAAGATGAAGAAGAACGGCGATACGGGTACCCTCCGCCTGCACGTCCCCACTCTCCGCCCTTCTACGGCGGGGACGCTCCCCCGCCGCCCCAAGTCAACCACACCTCCCACATGGGCCCGCCGCCGCCACAGCCCCACCTGCCGCCCTTCTACGTCGGTGGCGCTCCCCCGCCGTCGCCGCCGGCGTACCACACATCCCACATGGGCCCGCCGGGACCGGCCGCATACCACCCTCCTCCGCCTCCCACCGTCGCGAATCTCCACCCGCCGCCGCCTCCCACCGTCACCAATTTCCACCCGAATCCGGGCCTCTCCCCCCCGGGCCACCCCCACTCCCCGCCGTCCGCCGACCACCACCACCACCACCACAAGGAGGACGAGCTCAGCAACAAACCCCCCGTCAAGATGTACTGCAAGGCGGATCCAGGCTACGCCCTCACCATTCGCGACGGAAAAGTCGTCCTTGCCCCCGCCGACCCATCTGATCTTCGCCAGGTGGGCTCAAATCTCTGAATTTATTTCAAAATCTTTTCTTCGAATAAAAGAAAAATTAAACCAATCAGACTGTGATTCAAGATTTTTTTTGTGATTTTGTGACGACAGAGCTGGGTAAAAGATGAGAGATTGAGCACGAGGGTGAAGGACGAAGAAGGTTTCCCAAGCTTTGCTCTGGTCAACAAAGCCACTCGGCAGGCCATCAAACACTCCTTTGGAGCCACTCATCCTGTAAATGTTCTTACATAACATTCTTAAACTAATTGCATAACTAATTGATTAGTTTTATGATTCCGTATGAAATGGAAGGCGCTCATAGAAAATTTGGCTTCTGTATTCCATTTTTGTCTTAGTCATATAACCTCACTGGGTACTGAGTAGCATAAATTGTGCTCGTGCTACTTTGAAGTCGTAAACGACGTAAAGTGAGTAAAACAAGCAAAAACGTCTTGTATCGAGAGTGAAACAAGAAAAGTATATTGGGAGACGGTTACCGAGCAATTTTGTGCCTAAAACAGGTCCAGTTGAGTGAGTACAATCCCAGTGGATTTGATGAATCAATTCTGTGGACCGAAAGCAAGGACTTGGGAGACGGTTACCGAGCAATAAGGATGGTCAACAACATTCGCCTTAACATTGATGCTTTCAATGGGGACAAAAATCATGGAGGCGTTCGTGATGGCACTAAAATCGTCCTTTGGGAGTGGAAAAAGGGTGATAATCAACGCTGGAAGATTGTTCCATACTGTAAGCACACACACACATACACACACACGTACTTAACTTATTCAACTTGGGTTTTTAATTTGCGTGATAATTTTAACCGTGTACTGCGTTTTCTTGTATTATAGCTGTTCTTGTGTGTTCTGATTTTCACATCTTTTCTTGGTGCAGAAATGGAATTACATTTGCTAATTAATTACAATATTCTGAGGGAGAAGGGAGCTGCTTTCTTTGGCTTTGTGTTGTTGGTGTTATGAAAATAATCTGCAGTCACCTGCACTTTGGTGCTGAGTTAGTGGTAAATTGGAGGAACGTGAAGTGTGCTTTGTACTAGAGATGATATATTTGTGATTGTTTTGGTTATGCTTGTACTTATCACAATGCATATATATCTGCACATTGGGCTGTTAATGAGTTGAACTGTTCGCGAACAAAGCTCGTTCGTTTTCGTTCGTGTTCGATAACAACTCGTTCGTTTAGTAATAGATCCGAACTCGAACTTGAAATTATGTTCGTTCAGTAATTGAACGAACATGAATATGTTCGCTAACTAATCAAGCGTTTGTGAACAAAAAAAGTATTTTATAATTTTATACATTATATGTAGTATATACATATATAATATAATATATAAATATGTAAATATATTAAATAGTGAATAAAATAACTTGTATGACAATAAAATAAAATAAATAAAAAAAAAGTCAAGAAATACGAACACGAACATTTTGAAAAGTTCGCGAACAAGTTCGACTATATAAACGAACGAACATTAATATGTCGAACCAACAAAAAAAAGAACACAAACAAAATTTTTTATTTGATTGCTAAACGAACAAACACGACGAACATATTAAAAAATTAGTCGAACTCGAGCACCAAAACCTTAAGCTCGGTTCGGTTCGATAACAACCCTATCTGCACATAACTGTACAGTGCCCCCCACAATGCTCTTAAAAACTAAAAATAAAAATAAAAATAAAAAAGGCCTACACTTATAAAAAAAATAGGCATCATCCTAACTTTTTATGCCAGGAGATTTCCTAGTCAATCAACCTTTTTTTAATGGGGAAAACTCATTCTAACATGAATAACAAAACATGAACTTTTCTAATCTAATTCAACTTGGAGCAGTCAATCCATCCAATTTCATCATACAAAAGTATCTAGACGGGACCAATGTACCCGCCTTACTGCATAAATCCACCACAACAGGAGCCCGCCCATAATATTCCCGTCCCTTATCGACAAGTACAGGTGGATCTTGCCTCCGCTTGATCCAAACAACTTTCTGGGGCACCAAATTATCCACCTTCGCCTTCTCCCAAAAATGGCCCCCGCGAAAATTGTCATACTTGAACACTCCACACGTTCGGGCCTTGTGTCCCGATGGGCCCACATGCACTTCATTACAGTGTTTGCAGAACCTAGCTGGATATACCATTAAGAGCTTGTGAACTCCCGACCGGAGGGCCTCCCAGGCATGAAGGGTTCTTGTGCCAACTGACCTCAGATCAGCTTGTGATAAGTTTTCGGAATTGGTAGCGTTGTTTTCAAGATTATAGGGTTTGGTAATATCTTCATTGTTGATATTTGCGCCTGCTTGCAGGCAGAGCTCAATGACAGCTGGAACCCGGTCGTAATCGAACCTTTCATTGTGTTCGATCACATTCTGGAACATTCTCTGAAGATGAAAGGTTTGTACGGGGACAATTATGTCTTTTACAGTTGCTTTAACCCAGTTATGGGCCTTGTTCTTTGCATGATGGCGGAAGCCTTGGCAAGTATGAATTAAGTGACCACTTTCGCCTATAAAAACTTCAGAGCAGTATCTGAACCAACAGAAAAAGAAAAATAAATGATACATTCATATACATATTCATATATAGCTTTGCTGAACCAGATTTTTATAAGAGGCATTCAAATGTAGTATCTTAAATCAATCTTACGATTTTTCTTTCGCAACTACTAAACAATAAAACACCACATACTGAAATACTGAAACTAAATCAATGACTAACGATAGCATGAGTAGATATATAAAACATGTCGTGTGTTTTCTATATTCTAGTGGCTCGCTGTCAATATAAATAAGCTGCAGCGTAGGTCATTAATGGAGACAAAAATTTTTCGTGCCTGCATTATGACTCTAATTCTCAACAGAAACAATTACTGAAATCATATATATTACCTACTTAAACAGAGAAGTCGATGTGATTTGGGAAGCTCCAATATATAAATTTTTTCTCTAAGGCCACTATGATAAATCCTATTTGCTATTCGAAACGATCAAGAAACCATCTCTATCTCGGACAACACAACTAGTCATTCGATGGCCAAAGGGCACCTTCCCTTATACGCCAAGTGAGATTCCGAGAGTGATTATTGGCCTCTGATGCCAGGAAGATACTGTAAAGGATACAAATGAGGCTATTGTAACTAACTTTGTTCCTTCTGATGACAATCAAGAAACACCAAATTTCATTACAGGTCACAAGTTTCAGGCGCAGGTTCAATTGCTTGATGAGACCGATTTCATTCCCTTATCTACAATTGGAGACTGGCCGTGACGTTCAAAATCGGACATCATATAGGGGAAAAAGGCAAAGGCTTTGCAGTCCGCATCTCCAAAAACGAAAACGAAAATCATAAAAAAGAGTAGTTTGTGTACTGACAAAATCCAAATGACCTAAAATTGCAAAATCATAAACAACCGAGACGAATTAACTCGACCACAAATAGAGAAATCAACACTCACATGAACATTTTTCATCTAAACAAAGAGTAATTAATGAGTAACCAGTTTCACTAATCACGTTCCCAAATCACTAAAACCCTAAGCACAATCCCACTAAAATTTCCTCATCCAACAAAAAAAAGGGCCACGATTCGAACAAGATTTCAATCACTGATAACATTTATCAGCACCCACAAAAAGAGCCACTTAAATGCGAGAAAATAGGAAAATTTAGGGCAATTACTTGCAAGCCCAGACGGGAATATGCTGGACGAGTGTTGATACGCCGTCGTATAGGGCGGCTCGAGCCCGTAGAACCTCATTGGCCACCGGAATCATAGCTCTGATCGGATAATCCTTGGACCGTTCCTCAATCCGCTTCAGGATCATGGGCTTCAACTTCTTCATATCCAGGGGCTTCGTGCTGTAAAATCTGATTCCTCTGAAGATCACTTGCTGAGCGAGAGAGCCGTTTCCAAACATATTAAGCTTCAGATTCATCTTCACGAAGGGGTTCATGCTGCGAAAAAATGGAGCGTGAGAGAAACAACTCGGAGAGGTTTTTGTTCTAAGTTCAATAGTGAAAAGCGGTTTTACATTTCGAAAGTCCATAATAAGCATTTGTTAAGGCAATTTTGCTATGAAGTTAATATTCAAATATATATCATATTAATAAAATTATTAGTATCTATTTAAGTAACCAAAGAATATGATATAATTTATTTGTTGTATATATATTGTTGACTTCACTATAAAATCAACTGTTGACTTCATAGCAAAATTGTTTGTCAAATATATATTATATAGAGTAATGCTCCCCTACCCATGGTGGGCACATTTTAATATGTCCACCACTTATGTGGCATGTACACATTGGTGATGTATTTTTTTGAACATATTAACATAATGTGTACATGCCACATAAGTTGTGAACATATTAACATGTGCCCACTGAGGGTAGGTGAGCATTACTCATATTATGAATGTTTCGCAAACTTAGATTTTTCTTTGGGTTTATTTTGTTACTAGAACTTAGCCATTTGATCGAGTGATGTATGGTATAATAATGATAAAAAAAAAAAAAAAAAACTCACGGCCAAGTTGCGACCCAAGGTCACAATGTGACCTGGGCCGCGAGAATAAAACGCCCTCTCTTTTATTTTTTATTCTTTTTGTCTTTTTTATGGTGACTTAATAGGTTGGGTCACAGATAAGGATGGTCTAAGACTATATATTTATGTCCACTCTTCATAGCCAATCGGTAAATGAATTTGGAGTTTATCTAATATTGTGAGTTTTTCACGAGAGAGTATCTCGTATCTGCCCGTTCCTATTCACATTCTACATTAAAGAGTTTCGATTAATGTTGTTAAAATTTTGATATGAGTACAACCCACCAGCTTTTTTTTTTTTCTAACTTGTTTAAATTCATTACCAAAAATAGTACTACCTCCTATTTTTAATATATGTCGTTTTGAGAAGTTGCACACTAATTAAGAATATTTTTTTTGTCAATAATAATCTTATTTAATGAAGATAGAGATGAATGTACTGAGAAAAAATGAAGAGTGAATATGAAAAGACGTAATGTATTTATCGGCTAAAGGGGGATAATAATGGAAAATATGTACAAAAGATCCAAAAACGACATTTATTTAGCAAATAGTTGATAAAACTAGAATGACATTTAAAAAAAAATAGGAAGGAGTATGTATTTAACGTTTTGATAGAAATTTCTATCTATATGTGATAAATCTTATTATTAAACGATAAAAAAACCTAAAAAGTGTTGTTAATAAGTAGGATTGAATTTTTGCTAAATCAATTGATTACATTTTATTTATTTACTAGATAAATAGAGTAAATTTCAAGGTTAGTATTGGTAATTAAAAATTCAAATTCCCCAATCATGTCGCGGAAAATCAGTTCCAAGACAACTCACACTTCTACGGTTCTACCTTTTGAGACGTAAACGTTATAATAATAAACCACCCAAAACAAATTGGGTCTCTTCGAATCCAAAAGGGACCCGTTTCTCTGTTTTCTCTCTCCGTCTTCTTCAATTATCTTCTCCTGCTAGAACCCTAGAACTGTGTACCTTATTAGACTAGCAAAGATAATTTGCTTGAGCTTCAAGGGATTTAATGTCGAAAAGGGGGTTATTACAATCTTCCCTGTGCCATTCTTGCAGTGCTTAATTTACCTGGGATTTTCAGAAAACAGTCGGGTCTGTGCCTGATAATTTAAGGTATAGAAACCGACACTTGGTGGTGCTAACTGCTAAGCCCATCTCTCTTTCTCTCTATATATTTGAAAATTGTTACTCAGAAGATGAAAGATGGAATCTTTTTAGGCTGCCCACTTGTGCTATTCGCCTTTGTACCAGTGAGTTTGTTTTATCTTTGCTAAAAAGGTTTTTGTTCTTCTTTTTTTCCACGAGTTTTCGCTTTAACTTTAGGCAAGATTCTCGTCATCTTACGTTATCTGTAATGTGACTAATTTTTGCTTTTTTTTTTTACCTTTATTCTTGCTTTTGAGGAATTTTGTTGAAATTGAGCATCGTCTGCTTCTTATTTTCTTGTGGGTTTTGCCCGTTTGAAGTGTTGGAACAAGATCTCGCATAATCATGGCGTAATTCTCAAATCTGAAGCAAATTTCTCATTTTTTGGCTGGTCTATGAGGTGGCCTTTTCGAGTCGTTCGCTTTGTATTTTGCATATTTGTGGTGTTTCGAAATTATTGTTATTGATTGAAGCCTTTCTGTGTTGATATAAGGAGTTGCCTAATTCATGGTGATTTTCTCTGATTTTTATTATGCATAATTTAATTAAAATTGCATTTTAAGGAGGGGTTGAATTCTTCGTTCTGCTTGTAGTTTTCGATTTTAATTATGAACGGAAAATGCACTTCACAACATAGGTACAAAATGCACTGCTTGTATATGTATATATGTATTGTATGCTTTCTTACATTGTCTTCTTGGATGTTCTTTTCCCAGTTGAAGAAAATGCCACTCAGTCTTTAACTGATACTCAGTTGCACTATACAAGCAAAACATGCCACCGAAATCAAAGAAAGGGTGGAAGTCGATCGTGCCCTTCCGTTTGACGACAAACTCGGCTAAACGTTTCTTCTTATTCTCAAAAGTGAAATCCGATGGTTGTGGGGTCAAATCCACTCCAGTTTACCTCAATGTTTATGACTTGACAACCATGAACGGTTACGTTTACTGGGCTGGCCTTGGTATATTTCACTCTGGTGTTGAAGGTAGTTTTTTCCCGTGTTTTTTTTTTTCAGATAATTGTTTCCGGTTCTTGGGTTTTATAGTTTATTTAACCAATAATTCAAGAACTGCTTCTCGGGTTTTAGCTTAACACAAAACAAATCCAATTATATTTCAAAATTATGTAATACCCCTTTAAATTGTCGACAAACATGCCCTGAGGTTTGTATCTACCTAACAAATAACCCTCTATAAGCTATACTCGTCTCAGGTTTGAGCTTAATTACAGGCCGAATACAGTTATATTTCGAAATTGTGTATACCCCTTGAATTGTCGAAAAACATATCCTGAGGTTTGTATGTACCTATAAACAAATACCTCTCTATATGTAATGCAATTTGTGAAAGATACACAGTATCAAGGGATTGGATATGATTCTTAAGGTAATTTTGATCTTTTTTTTTTTGAAATTATACTAAACTTGAGAAGTGGATAAGTAATTAGACTTTAAACACTTGATTAGTTTCTAGTTTTGAGGTCCAAATTTATTTTCTTTCCATATTTTTTTTTTCAACTTGACATTTCTAGTCAACTTGACAGTTCACGGGGTGGAATACGCATTTGGAGCTCATGACTTTCCATCGAGTGGTATTTTCGAAGTCGAGCCTCGACATTGCCCTGGATTCCAGTTCAGGAAATCCATATTTGTGGGGACCACATCAATGGATGCTGCTCAGATGAGGGATTTTATGGAAAGGCAAGCCGCTAGGTACAATGGAGACACGTACCACCTCATTGTCAAAAACTGCAACCATTTCTGCAAAGACATTTGTTACAAATTGACAGGGAAGAGAATCCCAAAGTGGGTTAATCGACTCGCCAAATTAGGTAAACCAAAAAGAAAAAGAAAGAATTCATACGATTATTTGGAAGTTACCATTCGGGCTTCAGCTTTACCTGACTTGCTGATTAACTCGATCATCGTTTGAATGGTAGTATTAGTCTAGTAAACTAATCTAGGCTTGAATTTAAAGGAGGTTTTAATAATATTTACAGATAGCCCATTTCTTTAAAATTATTTATTTTCTCTTTTTTTTTTTTATTATTACCTGTGTAGGTTCGGTTTTCAACTTTGTTCTGCCAGAAGCCCTTAAAATCACCACCGTGCAGCACGACCCTAAACACCAAACATTTGACGATAGTGAAAAGAGAAGGCTAAGAAGTACTTTCACTTGTCTGTCCTCAATCTCGTCAAGGCAAAAGCAGTTGTCGACTTCCTCATTGCTGCTACAAACCCCTTTGAAAGTCCCTTGGGAGCTAAAAAGGTCCGCCAGTAAGTTGCTCAAGGAAAAGGAAAGATGACACATTTGATACCCATCATTATCTTGTCAAAATGCACGGACGGTTGTAATGACTGATTCTATACGTCTTTGTAGCTTATTATGTATTCATTTGTTTAGTACGAGGAAGATGTATAATTTTAGCTAACACGCTACGAAACACGATCGTGCTGTAAGTTTTTAGTTTCGAGTGTTCCCTTTTTTCGGCTTGGTTCTCAATGTTTTCCTTTTCGAAACCTGCCAATTGGGGTTAAAGCATATTTTTACACGATCATGCACGATTATCATTATAATCTTACCGCCGTTTAGAAGGACGAAAAATGCAGCTCACAAAAAAANNAAAAAAAAAAAAAAAAAAACTGTCACAGAGGATACATAAATTGCATTTTCCTCAACATTCATAAACCATTATTATGAGAGGATGATAATATTAAAACTAACATAGCAAAAAACAAATGTCACAATTGAGCCTTTGGATATTGTGAGCAGGAATGATCCTAATCCCTGGTGTTTCTATAGATGAATATGCTATTTTTTATTATTTATTTATTTATTATTTATTTATTTTATGTTTGTGCATGAGAAACACACATTTAGTGTGTGGATAAGTTGGGGGGAGTTGTTTGAATAAAACATGCAACTTATCGTATCTTAATTTTCCTGAAAAGAAAGCACCAAGCCCCAATCTTATTAAAGTTTTGATTTGTGTGAATGAAAAAAGAAAACTTGCAAAAACCAAATTTTGTCTTTAATTTGTTTCATTTATTTAAAATCCTAAAACAGAGAAGACTCTCTCTCT